AAAGGTTCAGGGACAAATACTATTTATTGCTTATTCTTGTTTTAAGCAAATTGATGATTACGTTTTATGATAACAAATCAGCTTTTTTCCTCATCTGCCTCCAAGTTTAATGTCATGATGATCCGTGTATTACAAATTCAGTTAAGTAGGTGCTTTATGAGGGGGAAGTTGTGTTTAGAAATTATGATGCATGCTCTACAATTGACAGTTTTATAAAAAAAAATATTTTGCACTCTATATAATGATATGGCGGTATAGAGAAATCCGTTCTCAACACTTTGTTCCATCTTTGAGTACAAGAATGAGTTTAAATAAAAGTTGATCACAATTATTTTAGTGTCTGTCTCTGAATTAAACAGAAAATAAAGGATTTTTTTCATATTAAAACATGCACTGCAAAATCGCTAGGATGAAATCCTCTCATATTATTTGAAATTAATCTGTCTTTGAATTTTATGTTCATTTTTATGGCATTTTATGACTGAAAACTAGAGCAAGAAATGAACCATACCTAACTCAAGTCAAAATAAGGTCTATATATAGTCCTGACATTGAAATTTGGTCAATTCTCTGGTGGGCTGATGTAGGAGAGAAGTGATATTTAAATGTCCACAATTTTTTTTTTTTTTTGGTTTTAGATTTAAATTAAAATGAAGCGAACCCAAAACGGCTTCCCATTCCGAAGGGGGGGACCCGTTCTTCTGGTTCAATTTGCTTGTTTTCTAAGCTGAAACAAGTTTTTTGGCTACTATGTAAAGCTTCAAACTCAACTTTAATTCTGAAATTTTGAACTGAAAAAGCTTTCTGGATGGGAAGTGAAACATCTTCAAAATTGGAAACAATGTCCATTGGATTGTTTTTTTTTTTTTTTACTTTTTTTGGAAAGGCTCCTCTAATCTAACGTTGTGGCTGTATGTGAGTAGTAATTTTAATTTGGATTTTTTCAATCTCTGAAATTGGCAATGGGATTTTTAAAAACAGACACAGTGGCTCTGATTGTTTAAATGGATTTGTTATTCATAAATATTGTGAGCAGGTTTTTAAAAAATCCATGTCATTTCCATAATTAAAACTTATTGAAAAAAAATATATTTATATACCCAAATGCAGAAATTTGGACGCTGGGTCAGATGCTGCATCAAACTGTGGTCAAGTTGCTTTGACACTCTGGATGCTCTGCACTGTGGTTGTTTAGCTGCTCTGTTCTGTAGCTTCAAGTTGGAGAGCAGCTTGGTTTTATATACTTTATGAGTTGGAAAAATAGTTTTAACACGTTTTTAAGAAAGAAATGTAGTCCAGCTTTAAACATTATCTGAGCAGTCAGTTCATCAGTGTCATGATCCCACTAAAATATGCAGTTCTTGTTCAGTGCCAGACCTCCATCATACCCTGCAGTGCTGGAAATCCCAGCTGAAAAGCTATCTGCTGCGGTAGCCGGTGGGCGATTTACCGCTACCATTCATAGTGTGTGGAAGTGAATATTGAATATAAAAGAGATTTGAAGCTTTGTGGTAAAAACTGCAAATGCCAGAATATAAAATCATAAAGTTTTGGTTGGCAGTTTTCAACATTTTTAGTCAATTTTGGGTATTTACTGTACCAGTGTGGGCTATTGGGTTAGATAAATCATAGTCACAGCGACTGTGATGATTTTATTTTTGTTTAACTTTTTCTTTTGCTCGGCTAATCATGAGTATGTTCATCTTATTCTGTCATAAAATTTATTTTTTTAGTGATTAGCTGTCATTCAAATCTATTATTTAAAAGATCAATAATTCTACTTTGACACTAAAGTGATGGCCAGACTTACTGGTTTATAAACCCCAATGTAATTAAATACTGTTTAACTTGGCTAAATATTGTTATTCCAGGCCAACAGACTTTCCCTTGTCTTTTGAAGGAAAAGAAGAGCATAGAGCTTTTTTCACACTCTCCCAGATAGGGTCAGATATATTTAAGTGCTTATTGGATTTCCATGTGGCCTCTTTTAAAATGCCTTTAGAAATTATATGTAAATTTAGTCCAATTGTAATTTCACTTTAAAATAATGTGATGTGCTTTCATGCCCAGTGGTTATTGTGATCTTGTCTCCATTCTTTTTTATTTAAACACGGTTTGCTCCTATTGCCTGTAGTGAATTTCACCATATTTGAATATTTCTGCTTAGAATCAGTAACAGCCTCTCTGTCACAAAAGGGGATACTGATTATCGAGGATTGAAATGCTTACTTTACAAGAGTAAATCCCCCTGTTTTTTAGCAAACGGTGGAGCTTAGATCTGCCAATGTAATGAAAAGGGACACACCACTGGCTCTTTTTTAGCTGAAAATGCTAGACGCTTCGCTAAAAATGCATTTGTAAATTCTCACTCTTAGGTTCATGGCAACCACAAAACAGACCTGAATTGGAGGCAAGCAGTTTCAGGAATAATGTGTGGTTGCCTCTGATGTAGGCCTGTTTTGTGATTGTTTAAAGTAGGGCTGCAACTAACTATTATTTTGCTAATGAATTAATCTGTCAAATATATTTTTGATAAACCGATAAATCAGAGAAGAAAAAGGATCCTTAAAGGATTTTTTACATATTCAAACCAGGTGAAACAAAATATTTTTCACTTCATGACTCCTGAGAAGACCATAATAATGGACACGTTTTTTTGTTGTTATTTTTTTTAAATCTTAAACTCAAAATATTTATGTCTTATTTTTAGCAATTTTGGTATAATTACCCTTCTAAGTAGGTACCTCTTTTAGCTAAATGCATGTTTCAGAGTCTCTTTATTCCAGTTAATGATTAATCAATTACAATATTAGTTGTCGACTGATTGTAAAAATGATTTGGCCATGATTTAAAATTGCTGAAAGAAAACTATGCAGCGCTCACATTTGTTGCAAGCATTTGTGAACTTTACAACACTGAACCTATGATAATCCTTTTAATTTTTTTTTTTTTTTTTTGCATTTTTATATAGTTTTGGCCACACCTTGTGATGACCAAGCATCTGAATCCATAGAGTAAATCTGTTTTGTTTGCCTTTTGATCCTAGGATAGTTCTATATATTGACACAGTCAAGGACATGAATACCACTGACTTACAATTGAAATGATTTTAAGAAGACTGTGAGTAGGTTCTTGTCCTATTAAATTGTATTTACATCTCTTTGCAAATTTAACTTTTTTTTGTAAGTAAACCTGGTAAGACATTTTGGTTCAAAACAGACCAGACCAATCACCATGTGATAGATGGGAGTTTGGGGCCAGAATTACCAATAATGCAACCGTTTTTTTTTTTTTTTT